TTATAAATTTTATAATAAAATCGAAATATTACTATAGCCATTAGAGCAATATGTTACAATAGCCATTAGATCAATATGTTACAATACCATCAAGGATTTGTATCCACTAATTTATGGACGAGTATGATACGGGTCGGCCATTCTCACCCCATCCCGTCGAGTATTTTTGTCACCTTACTTTATCCACATATGAGATTAAAGTAGGATGACGTGAGTTTGGGGAGGTACAGGTCTCCTGCCCCATTTATTTGTTTCAATTTATTTTTTTGCTTTTATTTTTATGTCTTTAGTTAGTAATTGTCATTACTTTATTTTTTCAATTTGTTAAGAATAACTTATATTCTCTTTAAAAATGATGATAAATCTTTTATTTTTATTTGATAAAAAAATTAAATTTGAGATTAATTTTAAACGGAATGGTTAGCGGGGATAGGACTATGTTTCCCATACCCGTTTCGGGGCAATGACCCCCGCCTCCACCCTGTTTATCCACTTGGACAGGGCATTCGGGGCGAGGCCTTACGCGTATCAGGTTGAAAGGGGTTTTTTTGCGATCCCTACACTAATTCAATATAAAATTAGCTAGAAAATTAAAATTTGAAATCAAATGCTTGTTGTTACAATTTTTCATTCACGATTCATTTTATTTTGACTTTTTTTTCCAACAAGAAAATCTATTGTTTTTTCACCTTGGTTTCAAAACATGCTAATGAATTCAATTTTTTTCGTTATTTTTCTTTCATCATTATGAGTATCTAAATTCATATTTTGAACAAATGATGTAAACAATAGTGCCCTTTTAATTTCAATTTTCAAAATTCTTGTAGTAAAGTTTTTACATGTTGAATTTACTTACAATTTTTAATGCTTTGAAATAATGGGTCATTATTGCATTGAATTGTGAATACGTAACAAATCTAGAGGTAAATTATAGAGTTAGACAAAGTGGAGTAAGTGGCAGAAATAGATTATCACGGTCGTTGTTTTGTCTTCATTACTAGTGATATGTTTTTCAATCTCGTTATGCACCGGTATTTCTGCTTCATTTGATTCGATCCATCTACAAGATGTTTGGAAGATCCACTATACAGGGAACATTGATCATCGTTGCAAAGTGCATTTTCCTTGTGAATTGAGACATACCACTTCAAATCCTCTTTCAAACGCATTTCATGCATTCGATCATCTACGTTCAATCCAACCTTCAATTTCCAATTAGTTCAAAATATGTTATATCCCTTATAACTTTAATTGACGTTGTCCTAGTACCACCCCCACTTCCATTTGATCGTTTATGTTGCAAAACTCCCAGCCTTTACGATACAGTTGTTTCATGCTTTAAAATGTCTAATTACCCTAAACATTTGGCCTTAATCCACATGTATGTTCAATTAAACATTTATGTGGAGTTCGACATTATGTTCCCATCCCATTCATTAAAGTGCTGTCAGGCACCCCACCAATGATGGGACGTCACTCATGTACCCATAGCATTTTTCAAATTAAATATACAAACAAAAAGCTAAATACCTGTTTTTTCATTCAATGCTTGCCCACCAAAAATAATAATAATAATAAATTATTAAAACACACTAAATTAATGATTCTTAACAGCGTTTTAAAAAAATTGAAATTTTATTTTTTATATTATTTCAATCTTATAAAATTATATGCCGAAAGGTTGAAAAATGGCATCTCATTTTCTGTGAAGACAAAAGATTCTTAACATTATCTTCAACCGATATATTTTTCATTTGTGTTTGATGGATATTATTGACAAAATAATATATTTTAAAGTTATTGATGTGATAAAAAAGTAAGAAAAATATTATTTTATTGAAATATGTGGTTAAAAAGTAAAAAAAAAATTATTGATGTGATGAAAAATATTATTTTATTGAAAAATGCATGGTGCAAAATGAGTTTTGAAAAAATGTGTTGGTACATTTTATTGAAAATATTTTGGCTTACTTTTTAAAACGCTTTAAAAGAAAGTTAGACCTTATTTGAGTCCCATATTTGAACAGAAAAAAAAAATTTATAATAGGGATTTTTGAATGAACGTGGGGTTAAAAGTTCGTACAAAATATTTTAGGGATAATTGCAGTAGAGGTCCCAAACCTTTCAAATAATTGCTAACTTGTCCCTGACCTTTCATTCATTGCAGTCGTCACCTTTAACCTTTAGAAACGTTACGGCTGAAGCACCAATTGATGGATTACATCCAAATGTCTGTTAGTTGACCAAGAAATTGAGTTTGATCAGGAAAAATCTGCAACTATTTAAAAGGTTTGGGACCTCTGCTGCAATTATCCCAATGTTTTATTGAATATAATGGGAGTTAAAACAGTGGCCTAATATCCGGTAAGCGTGACAGGGCACACCCAACGACTACCGTCTAAAGGGTTGAGAAATAATATCAAAAACATACAAATCAAGACCCCAACCAAGCCATTTACGTTCCT